CTGGCCTAGGGGCCAACTGGTTTTGTGCTGAACGAGGGTCCCAGTGGTTCCCTTGCACCAGCAGGACACTGGTTTGGCTCATCCCAGTCTGTGCTGCTGAGGTTTGACTCCGTGCACAGGGGATGCAGAGCTCGGGATGGACCTGTCCCAGGAGGTCCCATGTTTTCTTTCACTCTCTAAATACACCAAACCCGCAGTGTTTGCTGGGGCTGGGCTCCCTCTGGAGCAGGACAGGAGAGAGCAGCTCCTCTGGGAAGCAAACTGGGCTCTGCAGGGATGCTGTGCACAATGGGGAAGAGGGACCTACCATCGGGTGGGATTAAGGCTGTGGCTGCTCGTCCCCAGATCCCCAGTGAATTCCCAGGCTCATCCCTGCTAGGAGCTTCCACCTTGAGCAGCCCTGGAGTGGGTCACCAACTCCTCCTGCATGTTGTCCTGCCACTCCAGGGCTGGTGTCCCCTTCCCATCGTGCTTCCTGTCCCTGAGGCTGCTCTTCTCTCATTTAAAGCTCCACTCACGTTTGTACAGGCTGTACTTTTGGGGCTGTGAGTTATCCCGGGCGCTGCTCTGCTTTTTCTGGGATGGAATGGGGGATGCTGCATCCATTTGGAGAGCCCCTAGGGGTGCCCAGGGTGGGGGGGCTTCCAGCTACCACCATCTGTGGGACCTGAGAGGAGGGGGGTGGTGGAGGAGAAAGTCTGAAGGAAAAGATGTCTATCTGCTGAGAAGGTGCCTCACGCAGGCACGTCTGCTGGGGACAGGTTAATTCCCTGGGAGAGGAATGCTGTGGGAGCAGAGCAGGGTTGTCCTGGGGCTAGAGGCACCCAGTGCTGGATTTGGGGACACATGTGTGATTTCTGAGTGCCCCTCTCCCCACTCTACGGGTGGGTCGGGAGCTCAGTGGCCACCAAGCCCAGCGCTCTCAGCCGGGATTTCCATTCGGGCCAAACGGGAAGCCAAAGGGAGAGGGGGTGGTGTGAGCTTCGGAAAGAATAAACCAGCCACCCTTGTGTTGATCCCCTCCTGAAAAAGCCATCTCGGCCAAGCCGTGGCGTGACGTCATTCCCTCCTTGCAGTGGGAATTCGTGCACTTCCCATGATTGAGCTGCTCGACCGGGGAGCAATTTCCTGACGCTCTCCTGGTGGTGACCCCCTGCCCGCACCTCCCCGTCCAGGCGTGAAGCCCTTGGCCACGGACGTGCGTAATCGTGAGCGCCGGGGGCTGCCCCGCTCCCCCCAGCACCTTGTGAAGAGCCAGTAAAAGTTGGTTTGGCTGCGGAAATCTCAGCGCAGAGTTTCCTCCTGGCAAAGAAGTGGAGCCTCCTCTGTCACCTCCTGGCTTTTGTGCATCGCTGCTCAAGGAGCTGAGCAGGGACGTGATTGTTCAGCCTGGAGAAGAGAAGGCTCCGGGGAGACCTTATAGCAGCCTTTCAATATCTGAAGGGTGCCTGTAGAAGAGCTGGGGAGGGACTCTTTGCCAGGAGGTGTAATGATAGGACAAGGGGAAACGGTTTTAAATTGGAAGGAAAAAGATTCAGATTAGATCTCAGGAAGAAATTTTTTACTATGAGGGTGGTGAGACACTGGAACAGGTTGCCCAGGCTGCCCCATCCCTGGAAGTGTTCAAGGCCAGGCTGGATGTGGCCTTGAGCAACCTGCTCTGGTGGGAGGTGTCCCTGCCCAGGGCAGGGGGGTTGGAACTAGATGATCTTTGAGGTCCCTTCCAACCCAAACCATTCTATGATTCTATATGGTGGGGACGGTGGCCACGGTGGCAGGTGGGCAAGGCCCAGGAACCTGCTGGTGCCAAAGCCAGTTCTGTGCCCGCCAAGGACGAAAAAGGGTCAGATTTTAATGTTTACAGGAGGTTTTTTTGAGACACGGCGTATGGTGCAAAGTACAAATTGCTTCAGCCACAAGAGCAAAGAGGCGTTGGGCCGGGTTGTTCCCCGTTGGCCGGTGGTGTTGACACTGGGTTGGCGTTCAGCCCACGTGCTGGGGACGGGCTGGCAGGGACTGGCCCAGGGGCCAACTGGTTTTGTGCTGAACGAGGGTCCCAGTGGTTCCCTTGCACCAGCAGGACACTGGTTTGGCTCATCCCAGTCTGTGCTGCTGAGGTTTGACTCCGTGCACAGGGGATGCAGAGCTCGGGATGGACCTGTCCCAGGAGGTCCCATGTTTTCTTTCACTCTCTAAATACACCAAACCCGCAGTGTTTGCTGGGGCTGGGCTCCCTCTGGAGCAGGACAGGAGGGAGCAGCTCCTCTGGGAAGCAAACTGGGCTCTGCAGGGATGCTGTGCACAATGGGGAAGAGGGACCTACCATCGGGTGGGATTAAGGCTGTGGCTGCTCGTCCCCAGATCCCCAGTGAATTCCCAGGCTCATCCCTGCTAGGAGCTTCCACCTTGAGCAGCCCTGGAGTGGGTCACCAACTCCTCCTGCATGTTGTCCTGCCACTCCAGGGCTGGTGTCCCCTTCCCATCGTGTTTCCTGTCCCTGAGGCTGCTCTTCTCTCATTTAAAGCTCCACTCAATGTTGGTATGGACTGTACTTTTGGGGCTGTGAGTTATCCTGGGTGCTGTTCTGCTTTTTCTGGGATGGGATGGGGGATGCTGCATCCATTTGGAGAGCCCCTAGGGGTGCCTGGGGTGGGGGGGGCTTCCAGCCACCACCATCTGTGGGACCTGAACCCTGAGCCAGGGCTCCTGGTTTGCACTTTGCAAACATCTCAGTTTCAGCTGGAAGCTTCTGGGGAGGCTGCAACCCACCATGCTGGGAGTAAGACCTTCTTAGCTCAGCCCTTACAAATAGCTGACGGGGCTCGGCTCTCCCTGAAAGCTTGCTCTGACCCTGGAGATCAGGCTTTTAGTCCAACTGGTAGCACTGGCTCCTCTCCTAAAAGACGCTGCTGCAGCTCCTGTGTCTGGTGTGTGTGTGTGTTTGTGTGTGTGTGTGTGTGTCTGGCTCCAGCCACGCTGGGGCTTGTGCCGGGGCCGGACGCTGCCCTTCCTCCCAGGAAGAGCTCGGTGGGTGTGTGACTCCATGCATTCTGCATTTGAAAAGAAAAATTAAAGGAAGAGACAAAGCAGGGCTGGGATCCCTCATGGGAATGACCTGGGGCGTTTGCCACCCTGTGCCACGGCTCTGCCCTCGCTGCCCGTGCCCGGCTCAGCCACCCAGGGTGAACAGGTCCAGTGGTTTTGAGGCAAATATTAACCAAGGGCTTAGCTCCCTTTGCAGCCCCGTGACCTGGCCGCAGTCCCAGGGCTGTGTTGATCTGCTGCTGGGGAGAGGGACGGGGGTGCCCTGTGCTTGGCTCTTGGGCTGTTCCTGCAGCCGGGAGAGCGTCGGGCGAAGCTCCTGGCTGTAATGGGGCTGTTTAAATTCCCCTCTCGGTTATTAGTGCAGCTTCTCTCGACTCCACCTGTTCCCTTCCATAGCTGGACCGTGAATCACGTTGAGATCAGGGACCTTTTGTGGTCCCATCACCTCTGGCTCCTTTGTCACATCCCTGTGGCCAGGCTGAGGGCTGGCATGGGCAGAGCCATGCTGTAGCTGGGGTGGCCGATGGCACCCCCTGGGTGCTGGGGTCCTGCAGCTGCTTGTCCTCATTTCCCTTCATGCTACATGAGATGTACATTTCTATCCAAGTGTCTCAGATATTCACCTGCTCATCTACAGCTCCCTGAAGATGGGGGTAACCCAGGAGCACCCAGGGACCCCTCCATTCTAGCAGGGTGCTGCCTACCTACCCCAGCCCTGGGGTGTCCCACCTGAGTTCGGTGCCTCAACCCCTCTCCCCATGCCTTGTCTTTGCAGGAGACGTGCTCTTCCAGATGGCAGAAGTCCACAGGCAGATCCAGAACCAGCTGGAGGAGATGGTGAGTGCCCCAGCCAGCCGTGCCGGGCTCTCCTGGCTGCGGGCACTGCCGGTGTCGCAGCCGAGCAAATTCTTTTCCCTGTCTGGTCCGGGTGACACCAGCCCCTCTGAAGCAGATTTGCTGAGCTGCAAAAGCTCTGGTCTGCTCGGGCATCCACTCCTGCCCTGCTGAGCCCCTCTCTGGGTGTCCATCTGTCCCTCGCCACCCCCAGCCCCTGCTCTGTCCGTACAACCCCTCTCCCCAGGTGGCATTTGCCGGCCCCCACCAAGGAACCGTGTGGTTTTTTTCTCTTTCCTCCTGCAGCTCAAGTCCTTCCACAACGAGCTCCTGACGCAGCTGGAGCAGAAGGTGGAGCTGGACTCCCGGTACCTGAGTGTGAGTTGTGCTCCCGCGTGGTCCGGTCCCACCTCCAGCATCTCCCGTTCCTGCTGCCCCACTCCCTGCACGGGGACAGTCATGCCCGGGCACCGCTCCTCTCCCCAGTTCCAGAGGGGTCCCTGGCCATCACATCACACATTTGACAGCATTTTCCCCACTCTCAGGCTGTCACTGCCCCTTTTTACTCTCTGGGATGTGGGGATCCTACTTCTCCCAGAGTCCGGGGAGGGGGATTTTTCACTACAATTTGCACTAAAGCAGAGCAAGGCAAGGAGTCAAGAGGCAGGAGGGGCTTTGCTTATTGGGGGGGCAAACAGAATTGTCAAGATCAATTATGCATCTTTCATTAAGATGCTTTTGAACAGCTCAGAGTCTCAGCGTGGTGCAGTCTCGAAAAGAAAGCCACGAAAATGTGTTCACCTCGTCCGTGAAAAAAGCAAGGGAGCCAAGAGCAGGTGGCCGTGTGGGGCACCCCACGCTTGCTATGGCTGTGGGGAGCAGGCACCCCCTCCATCCTGCCCCACACCTCGCATCCTGAGAAATGGGGGGCAGTTCTAACGGCATAGTATCTCCCAGCCACAAGCAGTTTGGTTTCCTTACTTGTACCGTCCCAGTTTTAAATGCAGGGAGACCCTCAGCTCTTCATTAATGGCATTTTGGGTGATGCCCCACTCTGGGTGTTGACCCTTCCAGCAGGGACTCAGCTTTGGATGCTCAGAGTTTTCTCCTGCCCCATCCAGGCTGCCCTGAAGAAATACCAGACAGAGCAAAGGAGCAAAGGGGACTCGCTCGACAAGTGCCAGGCAGAGCTGAAGAAACTTCGGAAGAAGAGCCAAGGCAGCAAAAACCCCCAGAAGTACTCGGACAAGGAGCTGCAGGTAGGACCCCGGATGGGGAGGGCAGAGCAGAGCATCCCCTACTGCATCCCTGCATCCCCCACCACATCCCCCCTGGCTCCTGGTGCTGCTTTTGTGGTTGGTTTTTTTTTTTCCCCTTAATGAATGAACCCAAAAAGATCATTAATTTCTGTTGTGCCAGCTCCATCTTCCTCTGGATGGTGTTTTGCTTAAATATTGTCTGTGCCTGCTGCCGGGGCGCCCCTTCCCCCAGCTCGCCGGGGCGGTGGCGGCACGGGCCGGGGGTGGCTGCGGTGAATCACCGCGGTGTGATCGCGGCGTGGGGGCTCGCACGCCCACCAGGCACCGTGTGCTCACGGGGTCCCGGCTGCGAGGGGCTGGGGTCCCTCCTGGGAGGGTTGTGCCGTGGGGTGGGCACGGTTCGGAGGTCGGGGTCTCATGGCAGAGCATCCAGGGCACATCCCAGGGATGTGGTGGGCTGTGACACCCCGGTTACTGATGCATTCACGGTGGGGGTTCATGAATTCTGAAGTCTGGAGTTTGAGGTTTGCCTGGAACATGGCAAATTTCACTGAAAAATTGCTGCATCTACCTGCAAGCTCTGGCTGCCAGCTGCTCGAGTGAAGTCCATTGAGTGACTGCAGCGCGAGTGGTACCTTGAAAAGGGGAAGGTGGACCCTCAAGGCAGAAATTACCTGGTTTTGTGTTGGAGGCACGAGGGTGTGTGTTATGTTGGGACCAGGATCCGTTACTTTGGATGCCACGGGCTGGTATCGTGTCAAACCAGAGGGAGATCTAGACGTTGGTGGCACGTCCCTCACCAGGGCTGTGTACGGGGTGGCAGCTGAAGTCATTGGCAGAGAGCTGCCGTGGAGGTTGTGCTGGGGAAGTGACATTCTTCGTCGTGCTTAAAATTTGGGAAATCAGTCATCTCCCGGTGGCGTGAATCAGAATTAAGCACCGAAGGAGGAAAAAATCCCGCCCGCAGTCATCCACCCCACGCTGAGCTCCTGCCCTCCCAGCTCCCAGGCTGGTGTTGGGCTGGTCTGAGGGGGCACGGGGGGGTCCCAGCGTGGCTGTCCCGTGTGGGGACAGCACTGGGGACAGGGGGGCTGGCTCCTTTGTGAGAACTGAGCAGCTTCAGCCCCTGCAAGTCCTGGCTCTGCAATTCCTGCTGAGCCAGAAAAGCCCCGTTGGGCAACGAGGCGCAGCGTGGGGAAACTGGGGTGAGGTGGGGGGGATCAAACCTGTTTTGTTATCCCCCACCTGCTGATAGGGACAACAGAGCAGAACTGATGCCAAACCCCCCAGGCTGGTGCCGTGCTGGGATCCCCATCCCACACCCGGCGTCGGAGGAGGAGATGGGTCCTGGTTGATCAGGGTTACGGAGCTGGGAGAGGAGCAGTGGTTTGATGTGGCGGGAATGGGGTAGTCCTGTGAGTGTTGGGCAGGGAAGGAGGATCAGGCTTTCATTCTCTTAATCTTTCAGCAGTAAGTATTTAGGAAGCGCTTATCTCTGAAAAAAGCCTTATGATGGCTTTTGAGCTTAAAGAGCTATGAGACTGCTCAACCGCTTGCTGCTTTCTTTTTTTTTTCCCCCCTTCTGTGATCAAAACACCAAGTTAAATTGCTGAATTTAGCAAGAGGGCAGTTTCCCCTCTGTTCTCTGCTGGCGGCAACGCTGATAATTCCTCCCAATGGAAAAAGAGTGTCCACCCTTGATGCTGCTCTTACACCCTGAGCATCGGAGAGCGGGGGGATTGCTCCAAGGGTGGATCCAGCGGGTGTTGGTACCGACCCAAAGAGAGACCCTTGTTTTGGGGCTTCATGAAGCCAGAGCATATGCAGGGCTGCTGGTGTCTTACCATGGGGGTTTTGCTCCACAAAAACCTTTCTAGACTTGCTTAAAGCGGAGAACTTTGCTGCGTGTGGCTCGGTTTGTTCAGCTGGCCCAGAGCCACCCCTGTAAAGCCAAGGAGGAAGGAGGCTGAAGGCATCTCGTGATGCTTGCGGGAAGCTGCAGACTTCATCAGGCTGGTGCCTGGGGACCACAGGCCGGTCGGCCGCCAAGTGGATGGAGCTCTCCTAATGGGCTGTTGCAAATTACTCGTCTCATCATGGGAGAAGCTGCTGTTGATGGAAGCGTCCTGGTGGCTGCATCAGTCATCTCCTTCAATAATGCGATCGCGTCTTACTCTTCTCTTGAAGACTCATCCACTTAAGCTACTGTAGCAGTCAGCAGCCCGGAGTCTGGTGCTCTGTCATCATCCCTCTTCATATTTAATGCTACGGGAAGCAGAATCGCTCCTTTCTGCCTCTTCACCACTTGTTGAGTGACCACATCTTGTCATCGCCTGCAAGTGAGGAGGGTGGGAGAGACAGTGCTGTCCTTCGGGGAGCTCCAGGTTTCTGTAACGTCTCGCTCTGAGATGAGAGGAGGTTTGGGGCTGTTCAGGCTCTGGTTTGCTGGTGCCAGGGTTCCAGTGTGGTTCAGGCTCTGTGCTCTGCTAGATTGGTCAAAAAACCCAGTAAAACAGCCCAAACATCTCACCTGTGGCTCCTCAATTCAGAATTATGAAGCAGAAATAAATGCTGACACTCAGCAGGCACTGCACATGACTAATTATCTCGTGGCTGGTGAGCAGTAGCTTTGGGAGGTCTGCTCGGGATGAGGTGGTGGAACGATGCTCACAGACACTTGCAGGAGGCTCCTCCTGAGCTTCATCAGCTGCTCGTTGCATGGAGAGAGCTGATCCAGGGCTGTCTGCAAGTCCCACGTCACCTGCAAGTCCCTGGCCGATGTCTCTTGCACTTGTTTATGGGGTTTAATAGGTGAGGACAAGCGTCGCAGGATTAAAATGGTTGATGATTTAAAACACCTTGTGGTTTGCTGTGAAGACGACTCACGTAGCTTAGAAGCAGCTCCAGGTGCAATTAGGCTGCAGGAGAGATTTTCCATCTCCAGAGCTTTGTCTGTCACGGTCAAGAGAGATGCTGTGGTTGTGGGTTGTGACTGCTGAACGTTGCAATAAAGCCAGGCTTTTTATTCCTTATGAATCAGCCCAGAGCCTTTGTTATACGTGAGGAATGGAAGCTGAGACACCAAACTGCCTCAAATGTCTCATCCTAGTTATGTAGTTACTGAGATTTTTTTTTGACCTGTGTTGAAAACCAGGAGAATAAACCGATTCCATTCACTTCATGTGTCTCACGAAGACAAATGAAAACAATATTAAGATTAAACAATCACCGAGGAGCCTAAAGTGCTGTAATTTCGTTAAATGCTGGTTATGATCAAGCCGTGAAATCAAGGTCACGATGGGTTTTAGGACCTTGATTGAATCAGCAGCTCAACAATGAAGTTATGTCGGTTTGAGCTATTTATCACATCGTATTAACGCCACGAGCCATTGGGTTTCTCCGTCGGGCTGAGACGAAGCCGGGTGTAATTCAGGCTAAATCATGAAGCTGGGGCTGGCTGTTTGTGGTGAAAGGCTGTGCCTGACCTGGGCAAAAGGGCTTTTTGGCACAGCTCTGCCAGCAACTGCTGCCCAGGGGGGTCTCATCCACACCTACACCCGCTCCCACGGGAATATTTTAAGCATTAAATACCACTGTGCCAAATAACCTGGGGTGGGTTTATAAACTTTTGTAATTGAAACCTCATTTTGGTAATTCCCATCAGGAGAAATAATTTTAGGTGTAGGTCAAGAAGCTCTAACTGATAAGGAGTTTGCACAAACCAGGTTACGTGGGTTTATTGTGAAAGTCAAATAGGGAAGAATTATGTAAAAGCTCAGCTGCAGGTAACTCTGCCCAGGTCTGATCCGGCTTTTGGCTGGGTGTCCAGACCCAGTGAACGTGGTTGGTGGGTGCCAGGA